CTGCCTTAAAGTTAGTGCCTTCAGAGGTACTTATCGAGAATGACTCGATCATCGATCGGACCGAACATTTTCTAAGTCGAAATTGTTCAAAGTTTTTCTGGAAACTACTTCATACTTTTATTCATGTTTTATGCTACACTGATTGCTGATCATTGTATTTATTGTATCACGTCGTGACCCCCACGGTCGTTTCACTATAGTTAAGTTTCTACGATACAGGGGGAGCCACTTTTTCGGTTTTCTGAAGTCCGTACCTACATTCGGAGGGCTGTGGATGTAATTGGTTTTGTATATTTATTATAAAAACGTAATATTTGGCCCGCAGATTTGAAAGAAAATACGCAAATTCAAAATTTGGTTTTCAGATTTAAAGAAAAATACGGAGAACTTTTAAAATCGCGATTTGTCGCGAAGATATGAAAAAATCGCGATTTGTTGCGATTTGTTTGCGATTTTTCGCGGCAAACGTGGAAAATTGCAATTTGTCGCGGCAAACGTAAAAAATCGCGCAATTTCATTTTGTCATTACAGCTACAGGGAATCTAATAGTAGAAGCTTTTACGGGAAAAATTAAAAGACGTGCTTACTGTTATCAGTTAGGAAACTTAACCATTAATTGGATACAATATAGTATGATGTGTTAGTTGCTCTATACTAATCAGAGCCCTCTCGCTTGCAGTAGCGCGCGACCGCAGTGAAATAAGCGCGTTACGCAGTACGCGTATACACATGGCTATGTGAAATGTGTTGGGATCAAGAATATGTTAAGGAATATGATATAAAGAGGACTTTATTGATCACGTGCTATACCAATGCGTATTTTGAACTTAATGACAGTCTATAACTCGTAGAAACTCTACACTATAGTGAAGCGACAGTGGGGGTCACCACGTGATACAAATAACTCTTAGGCCAATAAACAATGAAGTATTTATATTCATATTTTGTCCGCTCTCACTAAATCGCTCGCCGCGCCCAAATCTTAAGAATATACTTGTGAAAAGGCCCTGAGGGTATGCATGAAATTAATCGAATTCAGTGTATTTTGGACGCTGATTCCAAATCACACCCCATGACGTAGGATAAAAATGCTTCCCTAGGTAGTGCGCCATCGACAGTGAGCCGCGCGTGCCGACTGTAGGATGATTTTTAGCGCTAATTTCGGCCAGCACAATTTTCTTCAAACAAATAGATATTGAGTATCCTTCCCAATGGCAACAAAAATTGGTAAGCTTACTCATAGACTTACAAGGAAAGTGTCCGAAAAATTTAAAGCATATCCAACCATTAGACATTATGTTACAGCTAAAAGCAGCGTATTTTGCCCCATTTTGATCATTATATCGACTCCGATATCCACCAAATTTTTCGGACAGTTGTGAAAGCCCTATTGGAAGGTCGTCGCCAATTTCCAGAATGATCTCATTTAAGGAACTGAAAATAAATCCGAATAATACGACAAAAATGGTCAAATTTGGACGAATTTGGTCAAATTACGCGACTTTTACAGCTACTTTTGCTCCAAAAGCCGCGCACCATCAAATATGGCACCTTGGCGAAACTCACTGATCTTTCCAAAAAGGCATAACAAATTTGGTATTGTTAAAATTCTCACAGTCTCTAGAAAACAGTGGTACAAAAATTTTTAAAATCCGAGCAAGTTTATTTTTATCGTGCACCCCCTAGCTTCCCTGCATGCTGCAGAGTTATGGGCAAAAAACCGTTTTGGTCACGTTACAGGCTTATAGTAAAACATGCAAAACACGAATTTGTTTGTTTAGGACTAGGGTTAGGCCGTTAGGGTTGTGATTAGGGTTATGGATAGCTCCAGGGTTATGGTTATGGTTAGAGTTGGGATTGTAGCACGATGCACTATTTACTATTGGGCCACTCCTACTAATATATATATAAATCGCTCGCCCAAATTTTAAGAAAATTCTTGTGAAAAGGTCCTTTGGGTATGAAATTGATCTGAATCGGTGTATTTTTGGACGTTGATTCCGAATCACCCCCATGACGTAGGGTCAAAATGCTTCCCTGGAGAGTTAAGGGCAAAAAACCGTTTTGGTCACGTGACAGGCAAGTAAAACATGAATTCGATTGTCTAGGGCTCGGGTTACGGTTACGGTTGTGGTAACAGGTAAGGGTTTTGGATAGCTTCGGGGTTATGGTTAGGGTTAGGGTTGGGCCGATTAAGGTTTATGTAAAGCCGTTTTGTACGGCTGCAAAACCATAAAAATCAAAGTCACGTGAAATTTTTGGGCGAGCGAATTAGTAAAAGCCTTAACGGGTGATACTCTTAAAATATTTGTTCCATATATTACCGTCGACGAGTCCAACCCGGCGCGCGTCCTGGTAGGTTGTAAACCTAGAATAAGAGCCCCACTGGGCCGCGCCGCGCATCTTCTCGCAACCACGTATGCAGATTGGTGAAATGCGAAGGATTGACATCGTGAATCAAAAAATTGGATTAGGGTTTATGGCTGTAAAACCATAAAAACCAGAGTCACGTAACAATTCTTGGGCGAGTGAATTAGTAAAAGCTTATTTTGTCAGCAATAAGATTTATTCATAAACATCACCGAATAGAGATTCGGCGGAATGACAGGCTGAGCGCGGCCCAGTAACAATAAAATCTCATTTTGGAGGACTTCGCTTGTATCACGTGGTGACCCCCACGGTTGACCATAATTGTTAATGATCTGGCCCGGCGCGCGCTACTTCGTAGCACTTGCCGTCGGGCATGGAAAGCGGCGCGCGCTACTTCGAAGAAATTTAGACGAGTAACATCCGTCAACCCCCACGGCCGCTTCACTATATCGTCTTCGACGATACAGGGGGAGCCGCGCACTCCGTGCGCGGCGGGTCATACAACGTAAGACAAGACTTTAACGGGTGATACTCGTAAAATATCTGTTCCATATATTGGACCGTTCCATATATTGGACCGTCGACGAGTCCAACTCGGCGCGCGTCCTGGTAGGTTGTAAACCTACAAACAAGACTTCGCCGCTTCGACGCGCCGCGCAAACTAGCATTCTTGCATTCTCGCATTCGTCGTCGATCGTTGCTTTGCTTCGCAAAGCAACGATCTCGATGGATTGACATCGTCAATCAAGATCACATTATTTTTTATTTGGTATGAAAATATGAGCTAATATAAAGCAGACGCAATTTCGCGGAGTTATGGCTGTTTGAAAGTTTTGAAGAAGCTAAGGCACGGGTGCCCATATATTGATAACAACTAAATGCTTTTGCGCGTTGTGCGCGTCTAAAATATGACAAAAACGCTTGCGGAGTGACAATATTTAAACTTCGATAAAGTATATCAAGTGGATACTTCTCAGTAAAAGACAAATTTAGGCAAATACGATACGATTTGATAGTTAATTTAATACAACCGCAGAAAATTGGCTCTTACTAAATCGCTCGCCCAAAAATTTCACGTGACTTTGGTTTTTTTGGTTTTGCAGCCGTTCAAAACGGTTTTACATAAACCCTAATCCCAACCCTAACCCTAACCATAACCCCGAAGCTATCCATAATCTTAACCACAACCCTAACCCTAACCCGAGCCCTAAATAATCGAATTCACGTTTTACTAGCCTGTCACGTGACCAAAACGGTTTTTTGCCCATAACTCTCCAGGGAAGCATTTTAACCCTACGTCATGGGGGGTGATTCGGAATCAGCGTCCAAAAATACACCGATCTAGATCACTTTCATGCCTAATGGGCCTTTTCACAAGAATTTTCTTAAAATTTGGGCGAGCGATTTAGTAGAAGCGCAGAAAATTATTTCAAATTTAAGCAAAAAAATAGCACATTTTACCACCTTTTTGAATTTTTACCCAGGGAAGTCCTGAAATGATAGCTTAATGTTGATGTCATCATGTGCATCTGTGTTTCAGCTATTTTCATGCAAATTTTGCTGATATGCTTACAAAATAAACTTGCTCATAAATACAAAAAGTATGGTTTTTTGGCCCAAAAATCGGGCGATTTTACCCAGGGAACTTAGTCTTATCATTTCAAAACCACTTTTAACCGATTTTACGGTCAAAAATACGTACAGAAAGGTGTATCTGGAGTCCCTAACGAATCGAGCAGAATCTGCCTGTAAGAGCTTCTAATGTAAGGAAGATTAACTGACTTCAAAACATATCCTTCAACATTTTCCCTCCGAAGATGATTTTTTATGAGTTTTGATGTCTCCTAAATACTTGATTTTTAATGTAAATTTTCCAAATAATTCATTGTAAATATTATGTGAAATACATAATTGCATACAATTTATATGGACAAAATTATCACTGAGGGGACTCCCAACCTACCGCTTCAGCAGAAAGTTGATGCACATTTTACAAGCAATGGCCACTGTGGTCTACTTGCTTGACTGTGAGGTGTCTCAGCTGTACAATGAATTGGGAAAGCAAGCAACCAATTTCTTTTTTTCCATCATTTTTGCATTTGCTACGGTAATTGCAATCTAACTTGAAATCACTTCATATTGTTTGGAAAAGGGAGACACTGGCAACGGTCCAACTGTCCACTCTACCCAATTTTGGGTTTTAGTTTAAAATTTTACAATTTAATAGATTTTTCAGTACATTTTAAATTGGTGCCCCTAATTATAGATCTATGATAATTCATCAAGTCCCCCTTCTAAGGCCTGATGTGTAGCTTCCTAATGTTTAACGCACATGCACTATTTCAGTGGCGCAACGTTGCCTGTTGGCGCCCCGCCGAAAATGCGCCCCCCTGTTGGCCCCCTCCCCTGTTGGCGCCCCTCCCTAAAATTTCGTGTCAAGTTAGCATGTTTGTCTATCATTAGCAACTTATTTTAACAACTGGTGCACAAACTTAGCTTTTGTTCTTACCTTATCGAGAAACGCCTTATCGTTTATGTTAGACATAATTAATCATAATTGAAATTTTTCTATTTATACGTACAAATTTTCTGTTCTGAAGAAACTTTAACACTTTGATCTAATTAAAAGTATGCCTTGGTCAGAACAAGCCCTATCGTATGTCAGGAAGCTAAGTCCCTCGATCAATAGAAATCACTACCTACCATTTGTAATAGATGAAAGCAAGTGCGGTTTGGTTCATAAAGACTATGTGCCACAGTTTCAAAAGAGACCTGAGATATTTCATGTGACAGACGAGGCCGTAAAGCTTACTGGAACCGGTTCAAAAGTCACTAGATCTAATGCTATTAATCAATTCTTATTAAAACTCCGAGAAGAAGGAACTTTCTCTGTTTTGAAAGGTAATTTTGCTACATTTTAATTTAAAGCTTTCTGTTTTCTTGAAATAGTTGTTTTCTAGCTTACCTAAATTCGTTTAATTATAAAGCAATGAAAGGCATTAGTTTGGTCAAATCAAACGGAACATATGCTATCAGACTTTCAACTGACTATGGCAGGGTTAAAACAGTTTTAACGCTAGCAACGATCCCCTTTTACATAGTTCCACTCAATAAATGTAATAGATTTGTAGTGTTGTAATTAGTTTATGGCGGGTTAAAATTGGCGGTTTTTCGGAAATTCTGCTATATTGTTACTTGTAATTTTTTTAAACTGCTATTATAAAACCCACAGAGTCTACTTTTGGAGTTCTGACAGGGAATATGACATAATAATTTTATTGTTCCTTTTTTACATCGAAACAAGCTTCATGAACTCACTTTCTAGGTATTCTGACCTCAACGAGGTGGTTTTATTTGAAAAAATCAAATACTTTGGTTGCAATGGACGCACAAATACTGTTAAAATGATTGATACCGTGCTATGAAACTTATTAATAAATTCCTATTCGTACTTTTATTACTTACTACCAATTCATATCAACAGAGATGTTGTACTACAAAACTTTTAATTTTAAATTTTATTATACTTTGAAACTGCAAACAAATACGCAGTCTGGAAAGAAAATTGGGAAGAATTTTGCAATAGGGCAGGTAGAAATTGGTGGATTTCAATTTTTTTGTGAAAACAATGTTACAGGTAAATAAGTGGCAGGTCAAATTTGGCGGATTTTCGGAAAATCCGCCACAATATCCGCCACAATATTATCCGCCATAAATAAACGAACTAAGGTAGTTAAGTTTAATGTTATGAGTCATTGAACTCCAGTTATTGATGGTATTGAGATTCACTTGCATTGATCACAGTGCTGGATGGAGTTGGTTAAGTGAGTTAAATGAAACCGTAACGCTCTATTTCTCAGGTTGGAGAGAAGAGACGTATTCTGTTTTCAAAGATGGATTTAGATCTGAAATCCTGTTTGATATTGAGCGAGCTGCTGTTGGAATAATCGGATGTGAGTACATTTTAAATTCTAACTTTGGTCCAGTTCCATATTTGTAGTTATCAAGCAGCCCGGCCCTGTACAGTATGCAATACCTGCAATGGCAGTGGTTTCGGTAGAACCCAGGCTGTATCGTTGAGTTTTTGAAAGGTTATAATTCAAATTTAGTTTAAAATATAGATCAAAACAGCATTGCATTTAAGATATAATTCTGAACCATTTCTAAGGAAATGCAAGTAAATCATGAATAGTGAACACAGCTCAGCTTGCTACATAATTGCTTTAATATGTATGTGAGGTTATACATTGTAACATACCAAGTTTACGGACCTAGCAAGTAGCAGTTACAACTTTAGCTGTACCATGCTTGTATTTTTGATTTAGGTGATATGATATCAACAGACGACAACTTCCTGTTTTTTCTTCTATATTAGTTACTCATATCTCTTTTACAGACTTTTTTACAAGGACATTGACAGATGATACTCACATCAGGCATTCATTATTGCATCTAAATTATTTCACTTGCATTAGGTTTAGAAATTTATTCTCTGGTTAACAGATTTCAAATGTTTAATTAATTTGTAGTATGACAGTAAGGTATATAAGAAGTTATTTAATTTTGCTTGGGCTATTATATTGACTATTGAGGTTTAATGATGATATGGAATTTGAATTCTATATAAATTTACACTATGTGGTTGGGGCATTTTGCATAGTAAATATGGTTACTACTCCTATATATCATATTATTTGATTGGTATTCGATTTCTGATTATTTCTCTAGGAATATGATTATTATATCTCAATTTGGCTTTAGGTAGGGTGCCCCGCTAAAAGAACTGGATTCTTCCAGGAAGCATCCCGTGCACAGACCTTGGTCTACATATATATTAAATTATTAACCATTCATTCTGTATGTGCACGAAAATTTATTTCAATCAATCAATACCATGTTTTGGCTGCAGTTTCTAAAGTATTCAGTAATTATTTCAACCACTCCCAATACTAATAACAAGCCAATCAACTATACACTCCCAACATATACCCTCACTTTTCCTCATTCTTCTACCTCACAGTTACACTACACAGTTACACTACACAGTTACACTACACAGTTACACTGCACAGTTACACTGCACAGTTACACTACACAGTAACACTACACAGTTACACTACACAGTTGCACTGCACAGTTACACTACACAGTTACACTGCACAGTACACAGTAACACTACACAGTTACACTACACAGTTACACTACACAGTTACACTGCACAGTTACACTACACAGTTACACTACACAGTTACACTTTTCCGATCTGCTCTAGTCGTATTTACATTATCGGAAATCTACTATCACAACTCGGCTTTTTCTTAATTTGCCATGATAACAGCTGAAAATATGATATTTTTCTACTGATCACTAACGAACCACTTCAACTCTATAACTAAAAAATGTTACCCTAAATTAGCATTGTACTCAGGTCTTGCTTTGAATTTTTACTAATAAAATCTGTTTTAGGAAGCTCATGATTGATCCAAGAGTCCACAACCTCGGCAAAGGAATCCACAAAGATATACAATATCCAGGAAAAGGAGAACTTCCTAAGTACCAGAAAGACACCAAAGCCCTCTTTCACTTCCGAACTTATATCAACGACAAAGAACGGAAACTAATTGATGACTCTCGGGAATGGGACGAACCATTTGAGCTGCTGTTTGGTCACAGTTTCCAACTAGAAGCATGGGAGAATGGAATCAAGTCAATGAGGCCTGGGGAGAGGTCTATGATTTACTGCATTCCTGAGAAATGCCTTGGTTACACCAAGCTATCTAAAACATTGCGAGATATGCACAAGAAGAAGAAAGATAAAGATGCGGTTGTCACTAAATCATGTTGTGGAAACCAATCTACTGGCTATTGTGATCTAGATAAGCTTCAGGGACAAAGTCTGGTGTTTGAGTTTGATCTGCTCTCAGTGGAGCAGCCTGGAGAGTATACAAAACAAATCTGGACAATGAGCTCCGATGAAAAGAGGTATCTGGTTATTGAACTAAAAGAGAAAGGTAATCAGGAATTTAAGGAGAAGAACTATGATGTTGCTGAGGAAAACTATGCTAAAGCTATCGGAACACTAGATCAGCTAGCTTTAAAGGAGCAACCTAACTCTGAAGAATGGAACATTATAGAAGATATGAAGGTGCCCCTCCTTCTCAACTACAGTCAAGTAATGATCTGCAAGAAAGAGTACGCAACAGCAGTTACTCACCTTAACACTATCCTCAAACGTGAACCTAAGAATAAAAAGGGTTTGTACAGACGAGCCACCGCCCATGGTGGCTGCTGGAATATTGAGGAGGCGAGGAATGATTGGAATGCGCTGGCGGAAGCGGACCCTTCTCAGCAGTCTCTGGTGACTAGGAGACTTCAGGAACTGGATAACAGAATCAAGCAGAAGGAGTCTGAGGATCGCCAGAAGTTGAAGGGAATGTTCTGATTAGTGAGGTAAATTAGACGAAGAGTGTTGTTATGAAGGTGGCTAGCATTGCCAACATTGAACTTACTGACTTATGACTTTCTGTGATTATTTGAATTTGAATACTTGTGTTTTGTGTTCCCCATTTTCTGCGTTGAATTACTGTTTCTATGAACTGTGAAGTATCCCGGTATAAATCCTGCATAAATCTCTGATTTGTAATCAGTCTTACTTAATTTATCTTGATAAATGTAATTCAGTAAAATATCCTATGATTCAGTTTCACTTTATAGAGATTTTCCACTGGAGATATAATTTATGAATATTATAACTTAGCTTTGGTGACCAACTGGTAACCTCGATATCAATATGTGAATAGTACAGAGTATCATGTATTTATTAAAATTGTAACAGATAGGAATTTTCCAATGTTATTAACACTATTTATAACCTTTCTAGATAATAAAGTATATTTAATAAGTTGCCAAATTTTGTTTATTTATCGATTTCGAATGAATGAAGAGGAGTTTCATTTCTTAACTTAGAAATAACAAGAAAATACGGAAATACAGCGCAAGCAGTGTCTCGTGACATTTTACATACTTGCTTGGCACTGTTAACAGGAGATTAATAACCACGACATGTATAATGTATAGTGTACAGTGTACATTATGTACAGTATAGTACCGTCCTTTGTGCTGAGGTCATATCTAGCTATATAATCGGGCATTATGTAATTATGACTTAAACTGCTGCAATTATGCAATAACAACTATAATTATGTGTGATTAAAGTTCAATCCTTTGTTTGATTAAGAAGATATTGAAACATTGCCCATCATAACTGAGCCTTGATAAGATTCGAGATGCCTCAGCAAGGACATCAGTGGTTATTTTAATCGTTTAAATCTGAAATAGTTAGTTAATCGGTTAATTGTAATATTAACCACCCTCATTTCAGGTAAGAGTTATGGAGTTCACATGAATGGGTACGTCTACAAAGATGGGGAGTTAATGATGTGGGTTGGAGTGAGGAATCCTAATAAAGCCAAATATCCTGGTTGTTACGACAATATTGTAGCCGGTGGAATCAGGTAATTAATATTTACTGTAATTAATATTCACTGTCATTAATATTCACTGTAATTAATATTTACTGTAATTAATATTTACTGTAATTAATATTTACTGTAATTAATAAATTTACTATAATTAATATTTACTAAGTAATTATAAAATTTGATATTTACTACCAATTTATCATAAACTTCTTGTAGCTGGTACTCTTTCCACCGTAGCTAAGATCTGTATTGTTGCTCTAAAAGAAGATCCAGCGATCTTTAAAAATAAAGTAACATGCAGGCAAATGTTCAGAACATTATAAATACCGTGCTGTGCCATTATATCTAACATTATGTACTCTGAGTGCGCCTGGTTAAATGCGGACCACGTCTCAGTTAGGACTATAAATGGTATAAAAGCCCAGAGTATAATATCAAGCTGACATATACTACAGCTCTGGCTACGGGATCTGGGAGACGATGCTAAAAGAAGCAGAAGAAGAAGCTAGCATTCCTGAAGAGATAATGGCGCGTGCTAAATCAGTTGGAGCGATAAGTTACACGATTGTAAACGATTACGGGACCGCGCCTGAAGTAGAGTTTGTGTATGATCTGGAGTTACCTCTGGACTTTGTTCCTAAGAACGCAGATGGAGAGGTGGCTGGTAAGTTTATTAACTGTTTATAAATAATGTGTACATCTGTGTGGCATTAGAGAGCAAAGTCAGTGTCTGCTACTCTGATAAGTACACCAACACTACTACTGATTTAATGAAACTTCCGCTCTTTACTGTCCCTGCTAATATCTTTTAGAATTTAGAATAAACTAATCTTCGAGATTGTTACAGCTCTTAGAGTAACATCAGATCTTCTATTATTTAACACGTAAATTTGCTGGTATATGTAATAAAGGAAGCAGGTTTTGGGGCTTAACCTCTCTTTAAACAGTTTCAGCCTCTTTAACAACGTATTCTCCGCGAAAGTGCTGCCTCACTTTTAACTAAATCATCAATAAACATAATTATACTTTTAAACTTTCCTGTATTAAGAGAGTAAACTGCCCCCCCCCCTGGCCTCCGGTCGCTGAGTATTTAAAATTACTTGACACTGTGTATAAATAGTAGCAAATAGTTAAGCCGCTCCCTCATCTGATAACAGTTATATAGACTATACCTATGTAACATGTATTCTCTCATGGTCAGTGTGTAACTGTCCATAATGTAAAAGTTGTTATCTCACTCTTGTTTACGCTAATATAATGCATTAAATAGGGTTGCAATAACTGGGAGGGATGTAACTATTGTTATCTCCCTGGTCCATCCTTAGTCGCTGAGATGTTGCTAATTATTTTAAAAACAGAAAGTGGCATAACTTATGTTCTGATAAATATTTTTGCTTCAAAATTTTACAGAATGTCAATAACAAGCAGTCAAACATTTGTGGCAAGTTTTGTGTGAGTGTGAGCTTCACTGAGCTTATTTGACCAATTTAAAACAATTAGCAACATCTCAGCGACCTGTAACAATTTTAAGAGATAAGGATGTGTCCTCTCGAAAGTTTGACTCTGGAATGTTATATGTAGTAATATTATCGGTCGTTAATTTCCGATGTAAATGCTGCATTCGCTAGCATCATTTCGTAGATCATCAGAGAATGCATTTACATCACTGCTTATAATACAGGGTGGGCCAAAAGTCAGTACCCATACGTTAGGTCTTATACCTCTGCCGTCTTTTATATTTGAGAGTTGTTGCTTTTCAAATGGCATACTGTACCTACTTGTTCGAGGATTCCGTCGCCAAAATTTGAAAATTCGAATATTTTAGACCACGCCCATTCAATATTAAAACACCTATATTGTTCTCTCTGAACATGTTGGACGCTTAATTTTTTCTGAGACGGTAGATTATTATATTTTGCATCTGATCTGAAAAAATGATGTGAAACGGATTAGAAATGACGAAGTTATCAAGCGATTTGTGTATCTCGTTAGCAAAATTGATTGGGTGATTATGTGACACCGTGACACGACACCTTAATTGGGCAGCCTTAACGATTCCCATAATGTTTAACGGGGTAGTTAACGAGGTCACCTTATCACGTGATTAGGTAATCACCTGATCACACGTAATGAATAACCTTATTATGCTTCGTATCTCGGTCATCTGAGAAGCTATAACTCTAATTTTTTCAGGACAAACGTAATTCGAATGGCCAAACACAATTCAATAAAATTTAGCTCGATCCGACTATCCAAATTATCAAATAAATGCGAAAATGAATCTTCATTCGAAAAAAATGAACACGAATATTTTTCGAGTTGACAAATTCCTCGAACCAGTGGTGGTACTAAGTTATACCAGAAAGAATTATTTCAATTGGGCACTCAGTGACTGAGCTCAGAGCTGTAAAGGCCAACGTATGGGTACTGACTTTTGGCCCACCCTGTATGATAACATGAGTTATATCCCTCGGTCAAACCTCGGGATATAAATCGTTTTGTCCAACTCGTCAAACTCGTTGGATAAAACTATTTTCACAACTCAAAGTTGTGAAAATAATGTTATCACATTAAAAGCATTGATGTAACTGCTTAATACATACCTCATTTGTATACAGTATATACTATATAATATATATACAGTATATACTATATAATATATATACAGTATATACTTTATATACAGTATATACTTTATATTTTACTGCATGCATCTTTAATATTTTGAAACATTTCTATCTTCGCATACGTACGGATTTTCTTGCATTAAAATTTATGACGGAAAGATGTTCTCTATCATTTCTGATACTTGCTAAAATCCGTTCATAACTAGCTCCTTAACAGAATGTGTTCTTTAATAAGTGTAATGCTGTATGTTAAATTAACGGTGAAAGGGATATGTATATGTTTTGGTGTTAACTGTAAAATGTACATATTACACGCAAGTTTTAGTGTAAATGTACACTGTACTATTGTGTGTTAATCTTGATATATTAACAACTCGTCATTGGATTTTGGTTTTGATTTATAAACTCTACAAATATCCGTCTACTCAACTGACATGGACAGTAGCAAAGAAAATCTCATTTCTGTACCAGTGTCTGAGTGACTGATTCTATGAAGATTGAAGACGTTGTGGGAAAACAAATAAGAGCTTTCTATTTCAGGATTTGAGCTGATGACGATAGATGAGCTGAAGGAAGTAGTTATGGTCAAGTTCGGAGACAACCTGTACATTTTTTACTTTTTTAGAAGTGTGTGGTGGAGCCAGCTCAACACAGAATGAAACTCCCTGATTATATGGCTGACAAGACATTTTTCAGGACTTTCTCTGAGTAAAAAAAAAAATTAAAAGGTTGAACGGTTGAGCAGATACAGGTGGTATTAAACAAACCCGTAAAAGGTGGAGATTTAAGGTGGAGACTGGCTCTGGTTGAAGAAACTTTTGATTAAGGTGGAAAAGGTTATTGGTAACACTAACTACATCAAATTTGCAATCTGATGGTTTTATCAATATTTTATTTAAGTGCTCAACCGAGGTGGAGAAATTAAATGCACTTTTCAAAGCTGCTCAACCGGGGGCGGAGAAAGGTTTAGAGAGTTCTAGGTTAGCTAGAAAGTTGCGTCTCGGCCTTTTCTACTTCCCGTTAAATTTTGTTTTTTCCATTGACGCTCAACAGGGTGGAGGTCTTTCATTAAGAAACAGTAAAAAGCCTGTCAAACATGCCTAAATTCATTGGTTTTATCACTAATTCTAATCTGCTCTGTTAACTGCTACTGTAGGGGATCATAAAACTGTTACCCCTTCTGTCTTAAAGCAAAGTGTTCTAGCAAATGAAAAAACTATCAAAGTTGTGAAAAGGTGCTCAACAAGGTGGAGAAATTGTTGATTAAACATCAAAACATTAAAAAATGCATTAAAACTGGCCCCACCGGGTTGAGTTGAACTTTGGCAGTTGATTTCTGGAAGAAATAACATTGGGTGACCCTTTAGCATGTATACAACTCATCAAACTAGCCATCAACCACTCAACCGCGGTGGAGAACCTTGACTTCTGAGGTCAAATTTACGCCAAAATTTGCCAAATTTGAGTCTCCACCTATGTTGAGTGTACTTTTCAGCAAGGATGCCTTGTAATATGAGTTGGTAGATGATTTAGAATCATTGGTATTGCAAATGGACTGCCACAGTCACTCTACAGCTCCTAAACTACAGAATAACAGATTTTGAACTGCATGTTATGCAGTCTCCACCTCGGTTGAGCCGATTCTGAGGATCCTATTCTATGAAATATGATTGGTATAACCCATAATATTAAATATTAGGGCTTTGGAGCAATTAAAAAGCATGAGAGGGTTAGTTCTAGTCACTTATATTAGCTCATGTAGTCAGTGAGCTGCTCCACCTGTGTTGAGCAGACAAACCTGCTCAACCGGCACTTTTTGAGTACCCACCTGTCTTACGTAACTTTAAATTGTGAAATTTGGAGTAAATATTTTTTTCATAAGTGATTTACAGCTCCTTTATTTTTGTAATTTTCAGGTGGCCACTGTCTCCACCAAGGTTGAGTTATTTAAATTTTGAACCCAGATATCTTTATAGAAAGGTTAGGAGTATAATATCTGAAGAGCCTGTACCCCTTGGACTGTCAGAGGAATTATAATTAATTTTACCGTTTATGGCAGTGAAATGAGTGTAATTAGTGACTGATTTTATGTACAGGTTGTCTCCGAACTTGACCTTATAACGGATAAATTTAAAACAAACTGTGCTGGAGTTGTTATTGACTTCCTGATAAGACACAGTCTATTGGAACCTGATAACATGCCGGATTACGTGGAGATTATTAACTTACTTCATTCCAAACATCCCTTCTAATGATTATCCGAGTTACTGGGGTTACTGAGTTTATGAGAATTAAAACACCGAATTTTTCAAAGATGTTTTACTCAGATACATATTTTTATTGATATTATTAGCGATTTTGACCTTTTTAAATCGGATTGACACTTGTATTTTAAAGATATATACTTTATACCCAATGATAAGACTTATGAATAAACAGGAGATAACCAACCCAACATGTAGGAAAATAGCATTAATCAAGTAGAAGTCATTACATGGAATGTTGCTTAATTGCACATAATATAATCGACAGTACACTTGATACTTGATCCCCAATAGTCTACAAGTGGGCGGGCACCTCATTATTTGACACTGCTAATTAGATCATAACGCTATCGGATCGTATCTTAATTAGGTCATTACTAGGCAGATTTGCAAAATGCAGCAAAACTAATTCTCTTAATCCCAGTTACAGCTAGAATTTGGGCCTATCTTCGGCTTCATGTTGTGTTAGAAATTACCATTGAAACTATCCGGTTTTATATGATAAAAGTTATTAGATTATATTATGTTGATATATTACATCGTGATGTCATGCAAAGCATTGCCAACAAATTCAGTTAGGATACATTTTGGCACCACAAAGGTCACACACAGTTTACTCTCTAAACCCTAGAAACCCTTTTAGGCTTCCCAAAGGCCGCCCATCGTTGTGATTTGCCTTCTAAACTCCCGATTTGGATTTCATGCGTCGGAGGTCTTCACGTTCAATGAAATTCGTCGGAAATGATATTTCCGAGCATCGCCGGACGCGCGCGCCCAACCGGAATTAAATGTGGAAAAGTTTAAGGTCTACATATTGTGAGCATTATTCGCACGACCGTTATGATCGACAAAATACTTGGTAGATTAAAACGTTTTGTTGTGTTGTACCTGATTTCCTCTACGTAATAACAAAAAACTCAGTTTACCGACTGAAGCCGGCAAAGTATGTATACCGTATATACCTAATATATTATATTATTGTGCAAGTGTTGTGATATTAGTTTACATCGACCCTTGATAAGGTTATCGCTCGTATTTACTTCTTTCTAATTTCAACTGACTCAGGTAGGATGTCAGCCCGCTCATGCGTTCTCTTCCTCACAGGGCCCCACACATCTCAGGAGTTCATCTCCCAGGTACTACCATCATTTCAAGAAACCATCATTATAAACGTTCTGTTAATCTTTGTTGGTCTTTCAATTTCGGTTCAACTCAGATTTAAATCGGCTTACGCCTCCACAATATTGTAGAAGATAACATTCCTGGAATATGTATGTATATTGACTCATGAATATACATTAACTTAAAATGAACGGCTATTTCCCTTACAGGTGCTGTCTCAATTTGACGCTAACTTGAGTGGGGATATCCCTTGTTGCATCATCACAAGTTCAGGAGAAGCACCTCTCTGGTGCGGTACTGAGTCTCCCGGACCAGCTAACTCTCAGGAAACCACGTGGAGTACCTCTCTAGCTGGACTCAAGTTTGATGAGGAGAAACTTAGGGCTGGGTCCCTTGATAACGTTGGGATAACACTTCATAACTTGCTGGACGAGATTCCTAAATATAACGTTATACATGCAGTGTGGATCACAGAACAGGTTACATGTTTAAGAATATTAAATTATCTGTAATTGTTTCATTGCTAATTTATAATTTTCGGCCTAAGTCTGCCCACTTTGTGTGACCTACGCTTAAAAACTTCGCTTAAATTAATGAATTTTTTATTTCAGATCCCTACAGCGGGGGCATCACTAATCCTTGCCAGTGGTCTAATGAGATTCATTAAATGTCATCATGGTTACCTGTCCATAGTGTCCCAGTCTAGGGACACTAACCACAGTCCTTGGGTTAAAGCAATGAAGGCTGCTGTTCTCCTGAAGAGCGATGTTCACAACTTGGCTAAGATCATCAGCAAGTGTTGTTGGGTTACTGACATCAACTTCAGAGGTGGGTGCTCTAGTTATGGGGCCAACATTTGTTTTCAGTAGTTTTATCTTGCAAAGAAAACAATTTCAAACTTACTTTGTTTAATACAGAATAGATCAAATAACTACACTGGGTACATTGGACAGTTTATAATGACAGGTTAATGTTAAATTACAAATTCGCTAATGATTTTGTTACCAGGAACGGGGCAAAGTGGTGTGGACATGACACTAACGGGAATTGTTGTGATGGGAAAACACACGGACTTTGTAACGAACGGGAATCTTACACTCCTTTCTGTTATACAGGTTACTTGATATTATCAACACGTGACTTTGTCACTACACCATTCTAGATCTCTGTATCATCTCTTAGTACTAACCCTGTACACCAGATTAAAAGTGTATACATTTTAACCGTATCTCGATACATTGACAATTATTAGGTCCGTTAATTCTTGTAAATTAATGGTATATTTCCTCTCCAGATTGTAAATTCGGTTCCACTGTACATCCTAAAAGAGTGTGTTGACGTTACTACGGTTGCCATGGATACCGCTCGGAGATTGGCTACACTCACAACCAGAGGAATTTTATGCAAAGTTACTTACCAGGTCTGTTTAAAATAAGTTACTTGTGGTTAAAATATTTAGCAAAATTTACAGTGTCCACTTCAATAACACTGATTTATGTTATTTATTTTCACTCATACGGTTTGTTTCGTCATTTCATGACATTAAAGAGACATCACACGTTCCCTTAATACATGTTATCCACAGAGAGAACAAGGTATTAAGTTGAAGTCTGAGTGGATACGAGCAGTGCAAACTCGCAGTATTGGTAACTCCGCTAACACCACGCAGGGACCTTACGTCCTCTTGTGGAGAGGAAAACTTTACACTTTCAGAGACGTGCTGCAGTAAGTAGTGTTTTAGCTGCAGTAAGTAGTGTTTTAGCTGCAGTAAGTAGTGTTTTAGCTGCAGTAAGTAGTGTTTTAGCTGCAGTAAGTAGTGTTTTAGCTGCAGTAAGTAGTGTTTTAGCTGCAGTAAGTAGTGTTTTAGCTGCAGTAAGTAGTGTTTTGGCTGCAGTAAGTAGTGTTTTAGCTGCAGTAAGTAGTGTTTTAGCTGCAGTAAGTAGTGTTTTAGCTGCAGTAAGTAGTGTTTTAGCTGCAGTAAGTAGTGTTTTAGCTGCAGTAAGTAGTGTTTTAGCTGCAGTAAGTAGTGTTTTAGCTGCAGTAAGTAGTGTTTTAGCTGCAGTAAGTAGTGTTTTAGCTGCAGTAAGTAGTGTTTTAGCTGCAGTAAGTAGTGTTTTAGCTGCAGTAAGTAGTGTTTTAGCTGCAGTAAGTAGTGTTTTAGCTGCAGTAAGTAGTGTTTTAGCTGCAGTAAGTAGTGTTTTAGCTGCAGTAAGTAGTGTTTTAGCTGCAGTAAGTAGTGTTTTAGCTGCAGTAAGTAGTGTTTTAGCTGCAGTAAGTAGTGTTTTAGCTGCAGTAAGTAGTGTTTTAGCTGCAGTAAGTAGTGTTTTAGCTGCAGTAAGTAGTGTTTTAGCTGCAGTAAGTAGTGTTTTAGCTGCAGTAAGTAGTGTTTTAGCTGCAGTAAGTAGTGTTTTAGCTGCAGTAAGTAGTGTTTTGGCTGCAGTAAGTAGTGTTTTAGCTGCAGTAAGTAGTGTTTTAGCTGCAGTAAGTAGTGTTTTAGCTGCAGTAAGTAGTGTTTGAGATGTCGTGTAATCGACATCAGCATCTAGCATGTTATATGTCCTCTGAGCTTCAGTGTAATACATATTATGCGAATAAATAAAATGCACATGTTGCCGCAACATGTATCGAGTGGGAATATTGCAACTCAGAGAATTTGTACATATATTGCACATTCTGTAGTCAGCATGGTGTTTATAAATCAGACTACATTAAGATGTCGGTACTAGTTTAAAGATAGCTATTACTAAGCTGTTCTCTTCAGACCACCTAGCACCCAAAAAGGAGGAGTATTTATAAACCAGAACCCACGTGTAGACTGGAGTCACGAGCAGAAGCTACTGGAGTTCTTCGAGAGGGCGGCCGTTGAGAGCACTAAGACTGATAAAAGTTTTCCAGTCAGGATACCTTCTCCTAGAAACACACCAGCTGCCGCCTCAGTTCCTTCTCCTATGGTACCAACTGTAACATTTATTTCTCATGGATATTTATTTTCACATTCCAGGGATCTTAATTTTCTATGTTCATTTTCTGTTCACATCATATGCGGAGTTTTGGAGGACAGATAAAGTTTTGATTCTTCATGATCTATAGATGTGGATACTGGCGGGGAGGTGAAACACATTTGTTTACTTTAATAGTAAGCACATGTTCGGTGGGTTGAGGAGGTGAAACACATTTGTTTACATTTTTAGGGTAAGCACATGTTCGGCGGGTTGAAGAGGTGATACACATTTTGTATTATAGAAGGCTTGTAACACTTGTAACGCTTTCTTGTTACCCCCCTTTGAAGGCCCCGAATTATTTGTATCCACATCTATAGTTCGTTGTATAACTTTATTTTCAGGATTTCCTGAGTAACTACGATCCCAGCTCGTTCAAGAGTGATACCCAGGATAGTTCAGGAGAAGAGTTCCACGAACAAAGAACTGCTTCGCTTCCCTTTAGAGTGAGTCTAGTTAACAACATTTATCCACGTTCCACGTATTAAAATATAGTCGGAGAAACTTCTCGGCTGATTTAACTTAATTACTTGTTATACTTAGATTGATATCATTACTTGAAGAATATTAAATAACTGGTGTTAATAAAATTACAGGATGTAGTGAACTTACAGACTCACGGTATAAACTATTTTAATTGTCACGACGACTCAGACGAGCGGATACAGGAATTACAGAGAAAATTCGTCCATCGGTAATGATTTATACTTTAACCGAGACATCACATAAAAGTGGATCTGGAAAATATTGATAACTTTTTATTGAATCACTGGATATTATATCGAGATTGAAAGTTGATAGTTAACATCAACTAATTTCAGAGAAACATACTGCAGCCTCTCACCCTACAACACCGAAGAGAAACGAGAATATAAATCAGCAACCAGTAAATCAAATAAAGACTCCAGATTTTACCGCACAAGCTCCAACAACTCTGAAAAGTCAGTGAGCGGTAAAGGAAAGTGTAAAGCTTCCACCCTCGATCGTAGTAAAAGCTTATCTCACTTACCTTCGTGTAGTTCTAGCGTTGAAATTGAGCCCAGGCACGCCAAATCGTCTGAAAACATTGCTCAGTTTCCGATTGTTTCTGTAAGTCGGAACACTAAATCTACAGAAGTGTTACCACCAAGTTCGTCTGAAGTTAAGCCAGAATCCTCGGGTGTCAGTTCTAATTCAGAAACTTGTGGGACGTTAAAACCCTCTAGATCGCAGAAAAACAAGACTCTGTTGAAATCCGTGATAGCGGAATGTTTAGCAAGCGAAGGGATCACCCCTGATCATCCGAGGTTCAAGTCGTTAAGCTCCAAACTGTACGATATCGGCAAACTTATGTTGAAAGATTCTACTTCAGGAAGCGAAGGGATTAAGGACACTATGTTGGCTATCATCAAACCACAAGCAAACCTCATCGTTCAACTGGAAAAACATAAAGGGAAATGAAATAAAGGGAAATTAAACTTAACCAAAGTGGTGTGTTTCAGTAAATGTCCATATTTTGTATTTGAATGTAATTCTTACATCCGTTTTTCGTTTGCTCAAGGTTTCACGTAAATGATCATGTTAATGATAGATATTGTGCTTACTATTTTGTTGTGTGCGACGTTTCAGACGATGTTCTCAATCCTCTACCATTCATTAATAACATTGTTTTTGCCCCATTCCTAAAAACCAATTGATATACCAATTGTAGAGGGAAATGTACAGCACACAACCTTAAAAGTAACTTACCAAAACGCGCGTCGAGTTAGACTCGTCGACGGTCTTAGATTTTAGAACAAATATTTTACGACTACGAGTATCACCCGTTAGGTGTCGTTCAAATATTACGTAATCAGCTGGGGGGGGGGGGGGGGGTCCGAATGATTACGCTAGTGTAATTTTGGGGATAACTTATTTTTTTGTTATTAGGTAAAAGTAAATTTTTGAAAAAAACAAAAACTACGTTACTACCGCGCACTGATGCTGATAGTGAAACGACTATCATGAGGGTCACGACGTGATACAACTAAAACACAAAACGAGTCTCATTTGAGTTGTAGCGCGATGCACTACTGCAATATACTGGGCCGCGCCGCGCATCTTCTCGCAAGATTGGCGAGATGCGAAGTTGTAGCGAAATGCGCTACTGGACCTCACCGGGCCGAGCTACGAAGAATTGACATCATCAATTAAAATTGACGATGTCAATTCTTCGCGGCTCCAAAAGCCGCGCGTAATTAAATATGGCATTTAGCTGCAAAACTTACTAATCATTTCAATAACAAATAAGGTATGAGGTATGCAAAATTTTGTTTTGTGGAAAAGCTCACAGTTTTTTTAACGATGGTTTGCGCCGCGCAAACTATCATTTTTACTATTTACCTGTGGACCTCAGGCCGCTATTATGTTCTTAAACAACGGCCCCAACGTTAATGTGGCGCTTGCTATGTGTTGGTTCAGCCGAATTACTTATTATGTAATTAAGTTTATTTTTCTCGTTAGTTGTCATCCGGCCAAATAAAACATTAAGCAACTTATATTTATATTGCAGTATTGACCATTGTTAATGATCTGGCCCGGCGCGCGCTACTTCATCGCACTTGCCGTCGAGAAGAAAGCGGCGCGCGCTACTTCGAAGAAATTTATACGAGTAACATCCGTCAAATTGCAGTACCATTTATCAATTAGTATATCAAAATATGTCATGGTAATTTTGCATGGCTGAAATGTAACGCTTGATTTGTGTATTATGTAATGATAAATTGAATTTTCAAATTAAAAAAGAATACATATAGAGATTCGGCGGAATGACAGGCTGAGCGCGGCCCAGTAATTTTACTTCGTTTCGATCTAACTAGATCGTTGCCAATTGCTTTGTTGATTTCTAATTCGCAGAACAACGATCTGGAAGGGTTGACCTTGTATCACGTGGTGCGCTCCTACTAAATCGCTCGCCCAAATTTTAAGAAAATTCTTGTGAAAAGGCCCTTTGGGCATGAAAGTGATCGGAATTGGTGTATTTTTGGACGATGATTCCGAATCACCCCACATGACGTGTAGAGTTAAAATGCTTCCCTGGAGAGTTATGGGCAAAAAACCGATTTGGTCACGTGACAGGCTAGTAGAATACGAATTCGATTGTTTAGGGCTCGGGTTAGGGTTAGGGTTGTAGTAAGGGTTATGGTTAGGGTTAGGGTTGGGATAAGGGTTTATGTAAAACCGTTTTGTACGGCTGCAAAACCATAAAAACCAAAGTCACGTGAAATTTTTGGGCGAGCGAATTAGTTGCTCTAACCAGAGCCCTCTCGCTTGCAGTAGCGCGCGACCGCAGTACGCGTAGGCACATGGCTATGTGAACGAATTAGTAAAAGCCCACGTGGTGACCCCCACTGTCTCTTCACTATAGTGATACAGGGGGAGCCCCGCACTCGTGCGCGGCGGGTCATACAACGTATGACAAGGTTGACCATGACATCGTCAATCAACCTATATCCTAACCATAATTTCGAAGCTACTATTCATAACCCCTGCTCAGCTATAGTACTGGTGCATCGCGCTACAAGTAATTTGTAAAAAGTGGCCTAGCTGACAATATAATTTGTCCACTAAACCTGGTCGGCAACGGCTATTTTATGTTTTCTCATTGATCGTGCATTTTTTGTCAAAAACATATAAAATTCGAAATCATAAATCAGGACCCTCGTTCTTTATTCATTATTAAAAGATCAAATACTTATTTGCCAAGAAATTGTATCGCGATGCACTATTGGTAGATTGAATGGCCTTTAAAATCTAACAAATATGAAATAGGTCAAACAGTTCGATTTTTGTTTTAAATTACAAATAAATTATTACATTTAAAAAATAAATATCAAAAATAACCCAAATATATCATTAACTTTCTAAACGAAGCTGCCTTCTATTCCGGCATAACAGGTGTCAGGTGTGGAACCCTCAAATCATACTGTCTATTGCACGTTTTACCATTTCAAGTTTTAAATTTTTAGCGTCCCTATGAATAAACACGATCTTAATATATAATATATAAGGATAACCCCTCAAAATAAATTAGGTCAGGTCAGAATCAGTAAGGAGGCCAGCTGAAGTCTGCTTTCCGAGAAACCAGTATCTTTACAAAATGCTCCCCCAGGCAACCCAAACTTTCATGAGAGCAGTGACGAGAGGTCTGTCCACTGTCTTATTGAAAAATACAGGAATTATGTTTTTTTCTTTTGAGGACTCTGATAACTTTCCCACTCAACATAGCGATATAATTTGCTATCCTTATCGTGTCTGCTTTCTCATCATTCTCGAAAAAGTGGGATCCGAAGACATCATGATTACAAACAGTCACCTTTTCCCTGGTCTTTGGACCTTCCACAGTCTCAAATTTCGTCACCTGTTGATGAATAGTCTTTGGATGAATTGTCCTGCCTGATTTTCCGTATTTCTTCGAAAGTGCACTTCTAGCAGCCGTCCAACTGCTTCCGTTGACACGGAGAAGCTTGAAGATGATTACTCTCTTCTCGTTTTGAAATTTTTTGAAGAAAATTTCAAAAGATTGTGAAAAAATGGGTTTTGACACGATTTTGCAAGAAATAATCTAGGTAAACTATAGGTAAATATTATTAATAATATTAATCATAAGCTAAAATGTACTAATCTTTGTATTCTAAATGGGGAAAAGAAGAAACATTGTCAGTCAGTCGAGAAAATTGTCAGTCAGGCTAATGGCTATATGGCAGCTTTGTAGATGTTGTGACAATGCTAGTAGTGGTCCCAGGCTTGCGACTGGAATTGCGGTGTTAAATCGATTTAACGGTATAACAACGATCCACCTCCCACTTGTTGTTTGGTACTTAGCATTAACTAATATGTAAGACCTAACAAGTATTCCCAAACCGATTTCATTTAATTTGCTCCTTCATAAAATTATGTAGTCATGTAACACCCTGAACCTGCTTCAAGAAACATCTAAGAATGATATTGAACATACACTGACTAACATGAACAGCTAGCTATACCACCACTTTTTCCTTTTTGTGCGCAAAGTTCAGAATGGTTTAAAATGTTTAATTTCAAGTCTTCAAATCTATATTAGGCATGCATTTATGAAAATGTTTTTCGTAGTTTTATCCTTTTACATCTTTTTATGATTTTAGTTAGTTGTCCTTCATATTATGCAGGACTGATTAACTCTTTAGGTTTAATTAAATTGTTTTTTTTTTCAAGTCAAACGTGTCCAAATTTTATCGATTACCACGACAGTGGATATAGTAAATGGTTTTAATGTTTAAGTTGAATTGAAATATGGCACAAACCGTATTTTTGTTAAGAATTTGAACTGTGTTGTTTCAATCAATATTTCATTGGTTATCAATTCGATTATGTTAAATAATTAGTACAGCAGTGATTCGATCTTGGAAACGAATTTCCCTTCGAATTTGCTGAACTTTAGCAAGATGCTCAACTGAATTTCTGTATGATCTAGCCAACTAGAGAGTTAAGAAACAAACAAGAAAACAAATTTTGTTAAATAATTTCATATGGTATTATTTAGTTGTCAACCTTGAATCGCAGTGTGTAGTCTCATACATAAGAAAAAATCGAAGTAACTAGACTGTTCACTCTTTAAACATATCTCAAAGAGAATGGATCTCTGGACCCCCAAATCCACCACTGTTCGGTTACTTTCAGAGGTACGCAATGTGGTAGGAAAGCACAACTAATGCTGCTGCTGAGTTAAAGCAATAAAGGGGATGGTGGCTTCTCTGGGATCTAACACATTATGAAGTAGCCCAACACTATGTCCTGATGCACTGGTGTTGGGATGTCCACCCCATGTACCTACCAGGGTCAATAAGGCAGTCAAGCTTTATCATTATGCATGTTATGTTGAGCACTCTTAACCAACAAATGTGGGAACCCCCACGGTGAAAATCCTCAAATTGATCAAAACAATTAACAGAAGTAAATAAACAGACATGAATTTGTATATAAATAATTTTATAGAGTATGTTCGATTACCTACTTGTAGGGGACGGTTAATTATGAGTTGAATTATTATTAGCTATGATCTGGGAAGATTTCAATTACCTATGTTCTGTGTGTCAGGTTTGTTTCACAAGTTAATATAATCCTTTGCTGCTGTATTGATGGTGTCAGTGAATATGATGGCATTTAGCTTGCAGAAGATTGAATTTAAAACTGAGAAGCTCAAAGCTGATAAAAGCTTTTTCCTAGTCGCAATAAACAGGAATTCTATAAATTTTGCCCCAGATACATTACAACAATGTGACTAATGAATAATGTTCCGATCAGGCTATTACATCAAAGCTATCACTTACAGTGAAACAGTGAACCCTGAACCAAAAAGATGTGCAAGTTGAAATTAAAATTTTTAAAAAGAGGCTGGAATAAGGCAACCCATTATAAAGGATAGCATGAAGATGCTCTGTCTGCCACTGGGTAGTGTGAAGTGAAACATATTTTAAATTAACTATGTCCAAAATATGAAAAAATATTGCTGATGTTCCTCCCTGTTCATTGTTTTATCTACAGGAAAACTCCTATAATTTGGGAGAAAGGACATGGCCACGGGAAATCGGGGTTTGCAGTAAATCGGGGCACGGTAAATAGGGGTTTTACTGTATTTGGACGTTTAAAAATAATTTAACCCTTGCTTTGATTGATACCATTGGATTTTATGACGTTCCCACATATAATACACTACAGGTCATTATAAATTGTATTTTCAACATTATTTTTCTCAGTCCTAGGTAATTTCACTATCAATGGTGTCTTATGAATTACCAAAAAATTTGGTGAACTTCTTCACCAACTTTGAGATACCTCAAATAGTTTTCCTGATCCTTGGGCCTCAAGATGACGAGTTGGGTGAGAACATGATGCCTACTCAGAAGTTTATCTGCAATTCTGTAATATTGGCAATACACAGTGAAAAGTTCAGGAAAATAATTTGTGCTGAATGTACAGAAATTTATCTTGATGGATTTAGTAACCAAAAAGATACAGATGCCATTCGGAAATGTATTGAGTACATGTACGGTAATCAAACTATAGTACAACAGTTACAGGTTGATGATATCATCGTAATGTTCAAGTTTGCTGATATTTGGGACATTCCTAGTCTTTGGTATGCTTGTTTTGAACAATTCAAAGAAGAACTTACAATAAATCCAAGCAATATCTTCGAATTTTATCAAAAGTTTGATATACTAGCATCAGAAGATTGGCAGCATAACTTACTTTCTAAAGAGTTAAATAAGATAATATGTGCAAATGCTGACCAATTAATAAAACATCTCATTGATCATTCAAGTCTATTGGGTATTGATCACCAAATGGTTGATGGTTTGATAAAGAACTCAAAGACAGATGCTTGTGGCAAATTTTTAGCTCTACTTCTTGGTAAAGGAGATGATCGAAAGAAATGTGTTTTGATGAGTCTGCAGTCAATCCCTGCCGCAACTGCATTCACTAATGAGGCACAATTTCTTTCTTTTGTAGGTCAACTTTCTTCATCTGATAGATGCAGGTTTGCAAGAGAGCAAGTCTTAAAACAGCATATCAGTCATGATTCAATCAAGGGTTATCCCCTATATTCCAGACTAGAATTTATCATCATGAATATTTGCAGAAACACTCAGCCTGCTAGATTATTTGACATTCTGATACCTCTTATTTTGCCGTATTTCAAAGATCCTTTGGTAGCTGTACCTTTACTTAAAGATGTAAGGGCTGTAGTAGTGTCTAAAATAAAAAGAACAAAAGGAAAAGGGTTCAAGAAGCCTGTCATTTTTAGTGAATTGCCTGAATGTTTTAAAACATATTCAGTAACAAAAACATTCAATGACATGACCTTGTTCCGAGAAGAGGTGTCTCGAAATAAGAGGATTTGCTTGCAGCTTCACCAAGCCATTCGCTGTCCAATCTGTCCTAAACGAAGTGGCAAGGAGCTGTCTCACATGATCGATGGATTTGTTATTGATTTAGGCTTGGAGTCCGAAATTGATTTTGTCTCAGTACATGAAATACATAAAGACCACATAATCCATTGCTACATGATTGGATCTGCAGAGGGCGGGAAAGTTCTTTCTTATGTGTCAATATTACTGCTGACAATCCCGGAAATTTTGACAGCATTGAAAAAATTCTCATCTGTGAAGATTGTTGCAATATACTCAAGACAATTAACTGTTAAAACTGAAGGGATGAACAATGTACTTGTGCAAAGCATTTAAATGTAGATATTCTGTTTTTTGCGTCAGAGAAGTTTAAAATATACAAATACTGTGCAGGGTGGAAGTTGGAACAGAGTCAACTGCCCACACGCAACTCTTGTAATTCTGCTAAAAAATATCAGGGGTAACTGACATGAGTCAACAGTTAATTCTTTTAATCATTTTTTGTTACACCTAAGCTTTTCTAATTTTTGTTAATGTGAGTTGGAAATGTAAATATGAATGTGATTTTGTATGATTAATAATTTAAGGTTAATACCATCTTCGTGATATTATGTTATAATAGTTTAAAATTATAAACTGTTTATTTCTGTTGTTTTAAAAAATTCCCCCTTTTCTTTTATCACAAATTTGTCCAGTATTCTATGATTAGTTGATTTTTAAATAATTTTAATGTTATTAATTGTTTTTATCAGGGTGCCACTGTACTATATTTTATTTTTATCAACATTTAAATGTTATGTATCTACTCTTACTTTGTTTAGTGTAGACTGTAGAAACAGGATTTGCTAGTTATGATTTACACATTTACAGTCACCCACTCTGAAATGGTAAACTACCTTGTGCTGGTTTGTTATCAGCGTGATACAAATTCTCTATTTCATTTCAAAGCGTAACAGAATTTTCTAGACTGATTTTTTTCTACAAATAACAACATTAAATGAACATTACAAAATACAATATTTGCTGAACTAAATAATCGCAGGTAGGTGAAACACTTCATGGGCCTATAGCATCTCAGGGTTAACAAGTTTTCAAATGAGTAAGTATTTTTTATTTGAGAGTTTTATAAAATAATAAAATAAAATTTGTTGTTAAAATATTTCCAGCATAAATACTTTCCAGCAGTTTAAAGTTGCATAAAACTAGTAAACTTGAACAAAATGGGATGATGATAAGTAGATAATATATATGCCGTTGTTCAGAGCTCGTAACATTCCTAACAC